TAATATTGAGGTGTACAAACTAATAGAATCAAATGCACATGCCTAGTGCACATACTCTTATGCTCAGTCCAGGTAGGGATAGTAAAGATTTGTTCATTAAACACTGAAAAGCAACTTCTAAATCTAGCACAGAATTCCAGTTAATTGACCAATGATTTTAAATGGCATAATGCAAATTCCAATCAAATTCTTTAACATTATATAAAGAGATTTTAATAATCATCTTTGATTTTTCAGCTTACACCCTTAGTGGAGACTATGCACTTGAAATTGTTTTTAACTTAAGATTTTCACACTATGTATACTGAAGTGTCAAATTCAAAGAACCTACCTTCATACCTTATTTTTATGTCAATAGCATTTTGGAATTAGAGAGCCAGTTTGGTGCAATGGTTAAGGCACTAGGTTAGAAAATAAGAGACTTTGAGGACATATCACTTTATCTTAGCCCTAAGAAAAAGACAATGGCCAAACCAATCAAAAATCTCTGGTTTGAATAGTCATTGGGATCAACATGGATGCAAAGCACCCCTCCCCAAAGAGCATATAAATTAAATGATATATGTTGGATGAATGGATAGGTAGATGGATGAAAATGGATAGATGGATGGATGGATGGATGGATGGATGGACAGACAGACAGATAGATAGATGATAATATATTTCTGCAATTTTGAAATCATACACATTGTTTGAACTATATAGACATTAATAACTATGATAAACTACTCCAGCATGATTACTCAGTATGATTCTGATGTTTTGGAAATGTTGCTTGCATTTCCCAAAACTCAACACATCATCAATACTTCTCTGAATAAGGCTTCTTATTTGTTAACATATTTAAGTAAGTGCATTTGCTGGAACTATTTGCAATAGAATCTGTTCCTGAAAACTGCAGTAGTCATTTGTCATAATCAACCTTTGTAGTTTGACTAGGGAAGAATGTTTCAGAGGTTAGTGAAATGTTTAATTATATCCTCAGCTCTACATATGAAAATATATAAAAAGACTTGTTTTGGTGATATAGTAATCTAGGAAATTAAATTATTCCTCCTTTTCTCTTAGGCTGGCTAAATATATGTTGTGTCTTTCTGATTCTGACATGGATTGGTAGAATATTTTTAGTGTTTTTATTAATATATACATTATTCTTTTGAAAACATTGACATATTTGTATATGTATTGCATGCAAGTGTTTTAGCTGTTTGCCAAGTCATGGATGTTGCTTTCACTCCCATGAATAAAAATCTAACAAAATCTTATTTCCTTCCTGAAAATAAGTTACTGGAATATGTTAGGGCAGGGATGTCAAACTCACATCAAAGCGGTGTCATGTGACATATTGGGGCTTTATCCCACTTTGCTAAACTGGAAGTGGGCGTGGCCAGCACGTGACGCATCCGCCCTGTGGGCTGGGAGTTTGACAGCCCTGCATTAGGGCATATTCTGGTTTTTGTGCTCCTAAACAATCTGATTCTGTTTTTTTTTCATTATTATTATATACCAAATTTTGTAACACAACCCCAGAATGTCCCAAAAGAACCAAGTGCATAATTCAGGTGAGTATTTTTTGTAATTCTTAACTTTTTATTTATTTGGCCAATGAAAGTAACAAAAAAGTGGGGAGGATGTTTGTATTTTAATTGTAACAAATGTAATAGAAATGTATAGTGGAAGACAGGAATTGCACTACATGGAAAATAATCAACACATTGTTTTTGGATTAACCTTGCTGTTTAGTTTGTCTAAGTTAAATAGAAGGAAGTAAGAAGAACTGCCTCTCTTCATAAGAAAACACCATTGAATCATATATATATATATATATACTCTGCATGAAGTACGACAGTACGCATCCATAATATTCTACTGTCATTTAGGTCAGTTTAACCTTCTTGAAGATGAAGCCAAGAACTCCCTAAGTTAATAATCATCTAATGCAGCATGGATGATTATTTGATTTTGAGGTTTTGTCCAAGAAGGAACAAGCATGTGAGAAACTGTTGAAATGTCAGCTACATTGATAAAAGGTCACAATGACCCCAGTTTCAAGACAGGATTACAATATTATTAGATCTTGGAAGTGGGGGGAAGTATTGTGTTTCAATTATTAAGTTATTCAATGCTATTCTTGCAGAATAAATCAAGTCTGACATCAGATTACCTAATTAACAGATGGTATCTGGATCATTGTTTGTATTTTTAATTCATATGTATACTTAAGTATAATAGAAATCAGCAGTGTTTCATCTGATGATGCTATAATATATATTAAGTAGTGAAAAGATGTTCCTCTTTCCCTCCCTCTAAAATAAAATAAGATTTTAATGGTTGAAATCTAAGAACACTAAAGTATTGCGAGACTTTATTGAAAGCTTTTTTCCTTTCTGAATTTTAGTGATCTGGTAAAGAAAAGAAACAAACAAAAAGAAAAGCACAGAGAGAAAAAAACCTGTGTTCTTTATCACGCTGAATTTAGACTACAAATGCAAAGGCTTGAGACAAAACCTTTTTGCCAAATTTTCTAGATTTAATCAGTATTTTCCAAGTTTTAATTTTTTTGGACCTTCATGTGTTTAAACCAATTCTAAGCTTGCTTAGAATCAGAAAGGTTTCTGTTTAATTTTGTAAATTGCCTGGTTTTTTAATCTGCATTTTTCTATCCTAAACATATTTTTGCCCCTTTGGGATTCTGTCCTATTCTTTAGATCAGGGTGTCGCTCAAGGCCCAGGGGCTAGACCCGGCCCACAGGGTGCTTAGATCTGGCCTGTGGGGCTGCCCTGGAAACAGCGAAGGACCACCCCGCAGTGCCTCTGCCAATAAAAACGGAGTTTGGGAGGGTTACATGCAGCCTTCTTGAGATCAGTTTTTGCTAGCAGAGGGTTGCAGGAGGCAGTCACAGCTGAAAATGGAGCTCGGGAACCCGTTTTCTTTGGCAGAGCACTCGGGCCACTACAGGTACCCCTGACACAAGTGCCATCAAGCTGGCCATGCCCACCCTGGACATGGCCCCCATCCTCCCAAGGTCAAACACAACCCTTATGTGGTCTTCAATGAAACTGAGTTTGACACCCCTGTTTTAGATACTATTTCCAGTTTATATACTCCTCACTTGAATTCTTGATTTATAAACTAATGACAATGGAACTGCAACAATGCAAAATTTTAGCCTGGTCTTCAACTCACCATAAGCCAAGTCTAACATGCTTGTTTTACTGACAGCTATTATATTAAGAGCTGCAAATAATATAGGTATATTTCATTTATTGTAATGGGTGCCATCAGCATATGTGTACATGAAGTTTGAGCTGTTGGCTTGAAGATTAAGAGTAGATTCTCTGTTAAATTTGGCAGAAGATGAATAGCATAATCATTAGCCTTATAGATATTATGATTTATGTATCATTTTAATTGAACATTAAATTGTTACCTTTTACAACAATATTCATATTTGAATAACCTTGTAGTTGCACCCATAAATGTTATATTTTAATCGGGAACAAAAAGGTATTCTGGATAGCTGTACTATGCTTCTCCATACGCCATTATACTTTTTAGGAAGCTTAACTATTCTATGCCATTAGAAAGTCTTAAGCTGTTGGTTTGCTTGCTTGTTGAAAGTGTAGGACAGCAGCAATGGAAACATTTGGCACAGTTGAGTTTGTTTATTTATTTATCAGATTTATATACCTGCCCATCTCACTGAAGTTGACTCTGGGTGAGCACAAAAATGACCAAAAACCATATAAAAACCCATAATATAAAAATATAATAACCACATTAGTTGTAAATATTATAAAAACAGAGATACAACCCTAGGTGAAGAGAGGATAAAAACAGCCAGCTCAGTAATGGATCTAATTAACCATATTTCCAATTCCCTGGAGCCCAAGGGCTAATAGCATAATCAGTGGAAAAGAAATTCCAATCATAGATTTATCAAAAAAGGTGATGTCTTGGGAAGAACTATTTATGGGTTTAGAAATAACATACGAACAATAGATCAGGGCATATATAATGAAGTGGGTTTTTTACCAGTGATGATGCAATAAGATTTAAAGTAATCTCATTGATCAATTTAAACATAATTCTCATTTACATTCAGTGTTTAGAAAGGTACAGTACAGTCTCAAAGGTAATCTTAAGTATCATTTAGCAGAGTAGTTATGAACAAATCTGTAATAACTAAATATAAATCAAAGCAATTCTAAATGTCATCTAACAGGTTGACTCTGAAGAGAATGTGCCATAGAAGTTTAATTTCAAAGCAAGAGTAGGAGCTGATAAACTATGAATGGAAATGTGATGCTATCCTAGCCTCATTCTCCAGCTTCTCATTATACATAAGATTACGCTGCTTTCTTAATACATTTACTCACAGCTTCTTCTCAGCTAGGTTTTGCACTTGCAAGTATATTTAGAGTTACACAGTCAATGCGGTACAGTTACAAAACAAATCACAAGATGAAATAAAGTTCATCTTAAAATCAAAACTTTTAAAATTAAATTAGGCTTTCCAAGCTGTTTACACCCAAATGAAAAAAAGTACTTTCAAATAAAAGTGTGTGATGATAAAATAATTTGAATAAAGCCCTTTGTAATGACAAGTTTGAAATGATTGACTCATCAATTAAATGCAATCTGTTGTGGTCATGTGGTAAGAAATCGGGCTGAGAATGAACATTTGGCTGTGGAGAAAAATACAGAAATACACTTTTCTTGAGGCATGTAAATTTGGTGAGCTTTGGATGGTTTGCTAGATTTTGAAACTGTGTGATTTACTTTGTGGCTTTTGATGCTTCATCTGAATCTTGTTACAGAGAATATACTGTACATACAAACATTTAAAATGTTAAGACCAGGGTTTATTTTAAGTATTGGTTTTCTTACTGGTTACCATATGCCTATTAATGCCTTATTCTGTGCTGAAAGACATACTTTATATAGCACTTCATCATCTGTCATGGCTACTGGAAGTGCTTCATATGCCCTACCACTTTCTCTGCTCTGCTGCAGCACTAAGTGTTGAGATAGGCAGTTGCAAAGATTGGTGCACTTATGCACGCCCCCTACAGACCTCTTCGGAAAGGGGTGAGGTCAATAGTAGACAGTCTTAGGTTAAAGTTTTTGGGGTTTGGGGAAGAAACCACAGAGCCAGGTAGAGTATTCCAGACATTGAGCACTCTGTTGATGAAGTCATATTTCCTGCAATCAAGTTTGGTGCAGTTAACCTTGAGTTTGTATCTATTGTGTACTCTTGTGTTGTTATGGTTGAAGCTGAAGTATTCATTGACAGGTAAGTCATTGCAATGTATGATTTTATATACCATACTTAGATCAGACCAAAGACGGCATAATTCAAGGTTTTCTAGGTCTAGAATTTCAAGTCTGGTGGCATAAGGTATTCTACAATGAGTAGAGGAGTAGAGAACTCTTCTTGTGAAATATTTCTGGACTTTCTCAACTGTGCTAATATCAGATACGCAATGTGGGTTCCAGACTGATGAGCTGTATTCGAGTATTGGTCTAGCAAATGTTTTGTATGCTCTAGTTAGTAGTGTGATATTACCAGAGAAAAAGCTACGTAGGATTAGGTTAACAACTCTTAATGCCTTTTTGGCTATGTAGTTACAGTGGGCTCTAGCACTTAGATCATTAGAGATGAGTATTCCAAGGTCCTTTACAGAGCTTGGGTCATCAACAAGGTCTTGACTATTCAGCTTGTATTTTATTTTCTGATTTTTTGTGCCAATATGTAAGACAGTGCATTTATTTGTTGAGATTTGAAGTTGCCATTTGTTTGACCATTCTGATACATAGTCAAGATCTTTTTGAAGGGTAGCAGTATTGTCTGTGGTATTGAACAGCTTTACATCACCAGCGAAGAGAACGCAGTTGCTCTTAATATGATCACAGAGGTCATTTATGTAGAGCAGGAGTGTCAAACACAAGGCCCGCGGGCCAAATCCGGCCCGCCAGACCTCGTCTGATGGCCCGCAGTGCCGCCGCCAGCCTTGCAGCCTCCCCCTTTTTTTTTTCAATGAATTTACTCCGTGCCTGCACGGAGTAAATTCATTTTAAAAATGGCTCAAGTTAAAAAAAAAAAAATTTACTTACCTTCCGGGACCTGGCCCGACTTCTTCCTGCCCCGCACTGCTCCCTGGGTGTTGGACGTGACGTCATCACGTGACGTCCGCCCAACATCTCCAGGGATCAGAGGAGCGCGCGGACGCCGCGGAGAGGAGCAAGAAGAAAGAAGTAAAAGAAAGAAAGAAGTAAAAGGTAAGTAAAGTAAATGGAGGGGGCAGATGGCTGGGCACTATAAAAGGGGGCAGTCCAACAGCAGCCTGAAAGCAAAGTTCCAGGATGCGACAGTCGACGACTTTTACCGTCTCCTCCCCCCTGCTTTGATGCCACAGCTCCGACTTCAAGCTGCACGTGTTCTGTCCATGTTTGGGAGCACTTATCTATGTGAACAGATGTTTTCAGTCATGAATCTGAACAAGACCAAGCTCAGATCACGTATCACTGATGATAACCTCCATGCTGTTTTGCGGATTGCTACAGCACAAGACCTAACGCCAAACATCGATGGACTGACCTTAGGAAAACGATGTCAGCCATCTAGTCAGTAAAGTTAAAAAAAAGGTAATGCCTTGTGTTTTCCATATGTTTAATAAACAGTGTTTGGCAATATTTGTATGTTTAAAAAAAAATTAATGTTTGTTACCAAAAAACAATACATTGTACAATAATTGTACATTTGAATATCTACTTGTCATTATTCTGACTATGTTTCTGCTTTCAGAGCTAGTTATTACTTACATTATTACAAAAAACAGTAATAATTGAATGCAGTGACATTAATTTATGATAATAAAGAGTGGACACATAGACCTACAGATACAACCGGCCCTTTGATGGGGACCAAACTGCTGATGCGGCCCCCGATGAATTTGAGTTTGACACCCCTGATGTAGAGTATGAAGAGAGTTGGTCCTAGAACACTGCCTTGGGGGACACCACTATTGACAGGTACAAAATTTGATAGGACACTCCCAATTTTGACCATTTGTTGTCTGTTTGACAGGAATGCTTCTATCCAGTTATGCAGGTGTCTAGAGATACCATAAGATTTTAGTTTTAGGAGTAGTTTGTCGTGTACCACTGAATCAAAGGCTTTACAGAAGTCTATGTAGATTTGTTTTGCCCTGATCGAGTTGTGCAGTCCATATGTTTTTGCAGTGTAAGAGTTGCAGATTACAGAGATAATTCTCTGCTCCTGTCCATGCTAAATGATAAGATACATATGCCTTCCACACAAATATTCCTGATAATCTCTTTATTAAAATAATTTTGGGAAGGATAATTTACAGTTGGAAGTCAGAAATTATTTTGAAGGACAAATTGATTTTCTAATCTCTTCAAAGCCTATTGTACAGCTTTCCTTAAATTTAAACAAATGAGTATCTGGCAGCAACAATGGAAAAAACATTGTCTTCAGTTCTCCCCAACCAGCCTAGTATATTTGAATCTTCATTATTCATGAGATTATCATTTTTCTGCCTAAATTATATTCCCAGAAATACCTATATTTAATGATATTAATCTATTTTTGACTAAAATACTTATAGCTTATTAGAAAATTTCACCCATCAAGTGATATCATTTCATCAAATCAAGAAATATCTGGTCTTACACCACAGTTCCAAAATATTGTACATTGTGACTTTGTAGAATTTTAAGGAATTGCCTTAAATCAGTGGCATTGTGCTACAAGACATGCTTGAAAATCTTGTCAAAGGACATTGTACAATGTGGGGAATTAAATTAAAATGTAAGTGATCTGAAACCATAAACTATGCAACTGCACACAAGAACTGGGTAAATTTCATGAATCATTTATAGGCATATGTATCCCACAATCACATATTTTTATTGCTTGTTACAAAGAACTTCAATTGTCATACAGTGTGAAATTTTGATCCACAGGTCATAAAATACATAATATACATTAGCCTAGGGCAATAGAACACACAGACTCTTCCAATTCCAGACTCCCTAAGTCTAAATTCTTGGAGTTGCATCAAGCAACTTATTTAACTCTGACCTTGTCATCTGTAGAGCATCTCAAATTAAAGTTATGTTGGCAATCAACTAACTTTTTAGTGTAAAATAGAAAGCTGATATCCAATAAAGATTTAAAAGCAATACATATAGCATTATATGTATACATAATTTGAAGTCTGCAGCCTATTGGAAACACGTACTTGTGAATGAATTGTACAAGTCT